ACCGACAGTGTAGCGTTGTAAGGCTCTACAACGGTGTCCGATACTTTTGGTGATGGAACAATACTGAATGTGTTCATCATTCTGTCAGGGTACTCCTCTCTGATTTTTGAAATAAGAAGTGTTCCCATACCAGAGCCCGTTCCACCACCCAATGAATGTGTAAGCTGAAAGCCTTGAAGGCAGTCGCAGCTTTCAGCTTCTTTTCGAACCACATCTAAAACAGAGTCGATTAGCTCCGCTCCTTCAGTGTAATGTCCCTTTGCCCAATTATTTCCTGCTCCAGATTGACCTAAGTTGGAAACATAAATTTAAGACGATTGGTGGAAAGGAAAAAAACACTCTTTTTCTGTATTCTCTTTAAAAGCGGTGCTTGTAATAAACTGGCCCGGAAACATGGTTGCCTGGGAGATTAGATGCATACTTACTTGATGGCCTAATTACACCGAATAATTTGCCGGACTTAATAGTTTTTGCCAAGGTTTCGACTGCATTCATTCAATTAAACATAATTTACAAGAAATCAAGTACAACTTCTTTATGCGTAGCACTTTTTAAAGTTTCCAAGGAAGAAGTTTAAATTCTATTTTCTGTTAAGGCTAACCTCCTTTTCTATTGTCCTACGTTCAAAATAAATGGTAAATGATCTTACCGAAAACAAAGTTATCTGGTCTAAAAATCTGCCCAAACGGTCCTGATCGAACTGAATCCATTGTTCCTGGTTCTAAATCCACCAAAACAGCCCTAGGTACATATTTTCCACCTGAGAAAAAAACATGAAATAGTTTAATATCAATTTAGTAACGGTTATTATGGCGGGCAATCAAATCAGTCGGACGAATAACAAAGCAGAAGAAAATTCCGCTTTACTTTCATACCTGTAGCTTCATTGTAATAAACGTTTATTCTCTCCAACTGAAGGTCGGAATCACCGTGGTATGCGCCAGTTGGATCGATGCCATGTTCGTCGGAGATAACTTCCCAGAACTGCAATAGAAAATAACGTCTTTTAAAAACCACATAAATTGAACGTCTGGATGGGTTTCGAAAAAAAAATTAACGAAGCAAAGGACATAACTTACTTTAGCACCAATCTGGTTTCCACACTGACCAGCCTGCATATGAACAATTTCACGCATTTTTGTTTTCTATGAGTATACCTCTTTAAGGATTAAAACCAGAGATGTTTTCGCTATGGCTGATGGATTCGAACTGAAAAGACCTGGAGTCGGTTACGATTCATAAACTCTACGTTACCAAGTAAACAATGGGCGTCGCTACTTAGGCAGTGTTTAGTTGTGTTTATTCCCATGTGTGCTGTTAGACATGAATTCTAAAGTTCCGCATATTTATCAACTTCTCACATTTGTCGTGGTAAGCGCTTTACAAACTAACCACCCTTTTAATTAAGCAGAGTAATCAGGTTAGATAGACGTGCTCTGCCACAATGACGCTAAAACTCCGTTTCATCGTTCGGAAAGTTTCTTCTGGCGCATCAGGTATGTTTCTAACAGTAAAATGAAGATCCAAAAAGCAGAAACATTCAGTCACTTTCTTACGTTCTCGCAAAATATTTGTAAGTAAATGTCACAACAGCCAATCAAATATCTCTTGATGGGACGGAAACAAAAGAGCCCATGATGTTAAATTCACATAAAGAATAAAAGGATTAGCAATCACTTTGTATTAAAAAAGACTTGTAAATGCACAGCTCTGATCTCAATAGATTGTGCAAACTAATTAACAGCTCGTGTGTAAACTAGTGGAGTATATAATTTAGCGCTCTCCCAAAAAAGAACTTAGAGAATTTTCGTGGTTGTAACTTTAAAATAGGTATTATCATAGTTATGACCATCCATGAGAAAGATTTCGAATTGTTCATTAGTGTCGGTTTAGTTTGGTTTGCCTTTAATGGTAACCTTTACAACAGTTGAACAAAGGGTTTTCCTTTAATTAGCACCGACCTAATTTCTATTTGTTCACCAATCGTCCGATTCGGGAATGGAACATTGACTGCCCTGACAATCACGATAAAGGCTTTGTACCAGTCCACTCCAGTCCCTTCCACATTCCCGGTCATTCTCGGTGGTAAAGGAGGACGCGAGCCTGAGTGACTGTCAATTTTTTTTTTCAACAACGTACCCAGAACTTGTTCAGTGGGGGAATAACTCTAAGTAACCCTAGCTACTTTTTTTCTGCTATCGTTTCTCAGACGTCATTTCGCGGGAGAAACAAGTGGTGGCGTCGCGAAATGTGGCCTGGTTTCTCAGGCTAGCGCATAAGGCCTCCGCGCTGTCTGACCAAAACTTTCTGTCTTGTGCAACCGATGATTTGTCTGTCGCTTGGGGGCTACTATGGGGCCTGTCGGCCTTTGGGCTTCCGGCTGGCTTTGTTCCAAGAGCGTCATTGCAGCCCCAGCTGCAACACCCCCAGTCAGTATTGTCTCATTACCAACGCTTCTGGTTTCTGTAACAGTTAGTGTTTTTATGGAGCAGGGTCGTTATCCCTGCGCCCAACCCCCAAACTGGAGGACCAGGGGGATCACTCTTTGTCTGGTCTCTACCCTTCGACCTTTTAAGCATGGGTGGCCCTACCAGAAGCACAAGACTCCAGCCGACATAGCTCTAGGGGTCATTGAGACAAGCAAACTGCCCCATCACGATAAGGTGGTGACCCCATTCGGAGCAGAAACTGGTTCACATTACTCTCAATAAACATGTTGCTCTAAAGGTGAGGTAGACTACGAACAGTCTCTCTTTTTTCTTGGTCCATCGAGCAGAACGCGCGATACATGCATATAACCACGCACGCGACTGAAGTCGTGCTCTCCCCTTACTAAACCCGAAGAAAAAGAGAGACTGTTTCAGTCTAAAGGTGATGTTACACAGGACGTTTCGTATTGATGTCATTGATGAGTTTTAGCGCAACACAGCGTTGCATTGTTAGATCAATGTTGCAACTGTTCGAACATAGTTATTAGAGGAGACTGGTTATGAAAAGCGGCAAACATCAATGATAAGAACAACAGTGCTGCAGTTTATGTTGGAAGTACCGTGAAAGTGCACAATCCTTTGTTTTCTGTTGGCAAATTGTTACGGAATAAATTAATGCAACGTTTTTATTGGTCAATACAATCAAAATGATAGGAATTCTTTTGAACGTTGTGCACTTTCAGGTCCACAAAAACATATAACAAAGGAGTCTGACGGGTTTCATAACCATTCCACTCAATCAACTAGGGTTCGAAACAATGTCGCAACAACGTTGCGACGCTGTATAGCACTAAAAATCGTCGTTGCAACTCGTCCCTTGTAACATTACCTTAAGGCTACTTTTACGCAGCACAGGACGAATTTTCGAACGGAAGAAAATTTGACCGGTAACTTCGTTGGCACGGGACCGTTCAATATTTTCCCTCAGTTCACACTGGGAAATTTGAACGGCTAGGCGTTTAAATTTTTGTACGATTAAGTCGGTTCCGTTTGAAGGGAACACCTAGACGGATGCCGAATTTTCAACCGGTCGAAACTTCGTTCACTGGGTGTTAGAACGTAGTCTAAGAAATACATCATTCACAAACATTCCATAGAGTGTTTATTGAGTTACTCATTTTGATTATAAAAATAAAATAAAATATTAAAATAAGATTTCTTTTCATTTAACTTAAACTGCAATGAGCTATAAACAAGTCAAGACAACGTCTGACTCAATAGTTTTTATTCCGTGGGAAGTTTGAAAATGTTGCCATCTTATTCTATTCAAGCATAATACGGCCACCAAGCATTGACTTTCTTAGTCCTAAATGCTCTTGCTGCTTTTGAAAGATTCTCATAAATTATTAGGTTTACTCCGCTTTGAAGTACTTGAAAACCTGAAGGAAGAACACAAGAAAAATTTTTATAATCGCGCGAACAAGACAAAACAAAAACAGACATCTCAGAGGAGGATTTTAAAAGCACAAAAAAACCGAACAGAAAGAAAAGAGAAGGTAACAAAAGATTATTATCTCCCTACCCCTCGCGCGCTGGCGAGATATATCCTGCCTCGATTGGGAATGGGGATTTCGGGAGAGAGGGCTATCGATAGCTCAAAATATCCAAACGGGATTTGAGAAAAGACAGACATTTAGTAATATAGTAATTCTATTATTTAGTAATATAGAAACCTTGATTTCCATGTCTTCAGAGCCGGAGAGCAGCAAATCTTTGTGAATGACGACACAGTTAACACTCCCTTCATGTCTTGAAAGAGTCTGCATGGGTAACATGGTGTCCAGATTCCAAACCTTAAACAAAAGACAACCTTGAGAACGATCAAGAACGGTAAGCAGGCCTTCCATTCAACTTCGTTTCAAAAACGAGCTTGCCCTCCATTATGGTTTTCCTTCTTACGCATGTGCGGCTTATCAACATTCCAGTGCTATACAAACCTAGTTAAATGGCCTTAGCCCCCACAAATGAAATCTCCGGTAGTGTAGTAGTAGAGCACCTGGACTAGTAAGATTCAGATTTGTTTTTCAAGTTGCCTGTGTCACAAACAGATCGCAACAGAAGAAAAGCTATTGTCATATGTCCTTATTCATTTGGTATCGTAGAGAGCTCTGTATTACTGGCAACATTTTGTTTTGACAGCTTGGTTAGATAGCATATCTGACTTCGACTCCTACCATTTTACTTTTATCTTAAGCCGAGTATATTATCTCTCCTGTCTTTTTTCCATCTTTTTTCAAATTGTTAAAATAATGCTGAAAAGAGTTTTTACATGACCTAAATCATCAAATGAAAAATTTACGAATATTATCCTTATTTAACCACAAAAAAAGGAGGGCTGATGAAGGAACAAACAAGCATGGAATGTCGTATGATACCTTCTGCCAAGGAAAGAGGGAAAATGGTGTATACCATTTCATTTTGAACAGCAGTTGTTGTTTTCGTCGGAAAAGAGGCTTAAACATAAACTTTGCGATGAAACTTTACCTTTGTACGTAGTAAATAATAATAAAAAAAATTAAAGAAGCAAACATCATTTTTCAATGCGCAGATTTGACGCATGTTTAGTTTTCTTATAAGACCCTATCCTTGTGATATGCAAGATCTATAACTAGGGACGGAGACCGAAGAGGCAAACTACATGAAAATACCCTACTTTAGCATAAATTTCATCACCCTTAGAACGATTAAAGCGTACTCGCATATCATTTTAGACATACTAGGCAGATTTAGCAAAGACAACGCAAAGTCAAATGAGAACGTGAAAGTGCGTAGAAAGGCCTTGACGGCACTTACGGTGCTCAGTTTGCCGCTATTCCATTGGTCAATTTGTTTTTCGGATCTGTGCGCACCGTCGTCATTGACGTTGTCTTTGCTACCTGTACTCCTAATATGAGTGTACCTGCACTGTGGTGTCGTATGAAGCTGAGAAGAGCAGTTTTCCTGTGGTTGCCGGTACCAAAGAAGTGACTGTACCAATATGGCCAACAAGTGCCTTAACATACTGGTACGTGTTGACGTCATACACGTGAATATTCTGGTTGTACGTACCTGTGGAGATCATAAAAAAATACTGGTAACAATCATGCTAAATAAGGTTCATTTAAGGAGGGAGAAGCAACAAACGCCCTTGATGCTGAAATTCAAAACAAGTCAAAAATGCATCAAGAAGCTTACAAACTTTTTGAAAAATGTAGAGTCTCGTAGGAGGCGCAATTACTCTAGTAGCAAGCAATCAGGAGTGCTCAGTCCCTCCTGCGGCCTCTGGACAGGAGGATTGTCCATCGCATTGCAGGGCTACACTCCTGGCGGGGGGATGACTTACATTGCATAAAAGTGATGGAGATGATCGTCGGATAAATTTATTTTTATTTATTTTTTTTATTTTTATTTATTTATTCCTCCAATTCCTAGCTGATACACAGTTATGTAAATATAACTGAGAAAAATAATATAGTAACATATAAAGATTTACAAAGGAAAAAAAAAAACGGGTAAAATAGAAATTACAACACTTAAATTGAATTACATTGTATATTGGAAGGAGAGGTTAGAATTAATTAATTTATTTAGGGACCTTACGATCCGATAACGGCGATGCCAAAGAAAACGTCGCTGAAAAATAGACTTCGCGTCCTTTGAAACTTTTTCGCCCTTATACCAAGTCACCCGGTCACTTGAAAGTAGGGAAGTTAGGTTAGAACTGAAGAGAAGGGACCGCGTCCGAGTTCAGAGAGAGAAAGCAAAATTTCTCACCTTGCGGTTCCCGTTCTCGAGTCAACTCAAAATTTGTCCATTTCACGTCGTAGTTGGGCAGGGACGGCAAAGAAATGTACAAAAAGCGTGATGCACGTGCAGAGTTGTTGTTTTGCTCATAAAAACTATTCTGTTTTAGACGTTCCCGTTGCCCTCGCCGTCGTAGTTTCGTAAGGTCCCTATTAAATCCCCGGAGGAGGAGAGTAGACCAATCTGGGAGAGGTTCGGTCGTTATTTGACCCCTAAAGGAGATCACAAACCAACATAGTTTGACGGCATTTTTCCTTTTTTACTTTTACCCTAAGTGATACTTTTACGGTAAAAAATATCGGCATTTCGTCCTGTAAACCCTAAGGGAGACCAAAATATGCAATTTCTATCCCTAAGCAAAACAACAAGCATCCCCGTCACTTTTAGATGGGAGTCCCTCCCGGGTCTACATTCACTGTTACGTCACTCGTACCCATTATAAAGACAACGCAGAGCAAATGCACAAACGATCACACCACCTCAACTCCTTCAGACCTTGATTTTACACTGGGATGTAACTACTAACAACGTGATTTTTGATAACACATGCATCTACGTGTTTAGACCCCTACAAGGTAATCGGCAGGGAGCAAGCCTGGCTCAGTATCCCCAACGTAATACCACATGTGGGTTGGGTTGAGTTTGTTGTTGGTTCTCGCTGGGATTGCTTCAAATTTACAGTTGATCAGGGATGGTCAAATGGATTAAGAACAATTATGTGGATGTGATACCTCTAAATCATTTAGTTTTCATAATTTTGGTCATCACACACACTGCTTTCTTGTGGAAAGGAAATGCCTGATAAGTCCATCCGCAAACGGTGCCAGTGTTTGATGAACAGAGGCCATCTCAATAAAAGGAAAAACTTACCAACTATTATAAACTGTCTAGTAGCAGCCAGTGAGTAAACTGAGCCAAATGAATGATCAATGGTTCCACGGAGACCAAATGATCCTGTGGCATCCCATACATGAACTAGGTTGTGAGAACCACTGAAAAGTTTTTCCTGGAGTATTTTAGAAAAAAGATATAGAATAACAAATAAAAACAATGCACATGTAATAGTCTTCATGAAGTTTTTGATCTTTTAGCCCATAATGCATTCTTCCCCAGGTTCTTCTTCCTATTCTAATACAACTACAGGTAGCTCACCCAGCTGGATTTCTTAGATACAGTGGGGGATCGAAGGAAGGAGCCTGGGGGACCCACCGTCCCCATATTTTTAGACTTAACTGAGGCCTGAAGGGCCGAAAATAATTTTTCTTGAGACCAGCCCTCCTTATCTCAGGGTATGGATGACCCCCCCCCCCCTTATCTGAAGGTCTGGATGAAAGCAATGCTTAACTTTGCTGCAAACTGTTCATGTGCACCATTATATGCATAAACAGTCAAAAACAGTACGCAGTTGAACCTCCATTAAATGGCCACATTTGGGGTACCGGTAATTGGCTGCTTAATGAAGGTTGGCCTCTCAAAAGAGGTTTTTCATTAATAAGCATAATCTTTAGCAGAAACATCACTTTATTCTGAAACAAACAAGCAACAGGGTGGCTGCTTAATATAGGTCTAATTTATAAGTTTAATCTTTTCTACAATTATTAGAGAGATTTATAGTCACATTTACGGCAAACGACTCATGTACCACGTGACCAAGTTTTCCCTTATGTCGCTGTTTATTGTTCATTATAACTACACAAAAATAGGTACATTCATGCCAGTTTTATCCAAAAGAATTTTATTGGGCTGTATTATCTGCTCATTTTCTATTTTGAGAATTTCTCAACATGAATCTGATGTTTGCTGTTTGCCGTAAGTGAGACCATAAATTCTCTGTTTTGGGACTTTGATCAATGGCTCGTTATAGAGGGTGGCCGCTTAATGGAGGATCAACTGTTTTTACTGAATATCAACTCACTCTTTTGACATCTAAGGCAAGTGCTCTGACCCAGTGATGAAGGTCTGGTACCTTATGTACTTCCTGGAGAGTAGATGCTTCCCAAACCTTTAAATAAGACTAACAAGTCAGTAAAAATTGGGGAAAAAAAAGTCAGTCGATTCACCATGACAGCCCTGATGAAGTAACTACATTAAAATGAATTAGCATATAATAATAAATAAAGACATCTAGTTTTTGCACATACAAGTATAAACAAAATTAAATTTACTTTCATAATCGATTTTTTCACATGCCATCTCAAGAAATCATTGCATACAGTCAACCGACCACTTACAGACAACTACCGTTTGCAAACTGCAAACTTCAGTTTGAGTAATTTCACCAGCAAAATTCTACATTTTTAACCATCCATTCATGGACACCTCTTGGACATGGACATCCTTTTTATACTCCGGAAAAGTCAAAATAATGGACACGTCTCGTAAGGACACACCTATTAAAGCCTGGTCCTGAAGGCATCTGCTTATAAGGAGGTGAGACTATAAACATTGCACACAGCACATTATTCATATATTTGAATAGCACCAAAATGCCTACTGGGGCTAATGGAAGGCAAAGCAAATAGGACCTACAACCAGAAATTGTACTCAAACAGGGTAACTTTGGAGAACAAAGAAATCCACACCCCTCCCCCACCCCCCACCTCTATTCAAAGTTGGGGTGTTTTCTGTCAACTGATTTTGTCTCCGATTGTAGCATGATACAAGGATTCCAGCTCAGGACCTTTCTAGAGTACCCTAAGGACTCTTACCTACACCACCCCCAAGAAAAGAATACTCGGGCATATTTACCTTGATGCAAGAATGAGAGGAAGTAAAGAGAAACTTTCCGTTGTAAACTATAGCACAGATTATATTGTCATGGGCATGCTGAGAAAATAAGAAACACAACCGGAATCAGAAATGAACACATTTTGTGTGTATTGTATCAATTTGGAGAAGAGGGGATTTTTTAACAAAAGTACCCAGTCAAAAAGCCCATATGGCAAGGGTAAAAACCAACATCACTATCAACAATCAATTCAGAAATATGTTAATCAAAAGAATAAATATATTCATTTGGTGACCAATAGCTACTTATAACAGTACTGGGGTAGCGTAAATGATCTAATAAACACCCACTTCCAAATAAACGCCTCCTATACTTTGTTAAAATTGTTTTAGACGCCCCTCTCTAATGAACGCCCCCTGTCTAATAGATGCCCCCTAAGTGAATTACTCCAAAATGCTAGGAATTAGCAAAATCATTCAGTTCTTGTTCAGTTTCTTGCTTGATTAGCCAAGTTACAAGTATTAAAGGATAGACTAAAGATGGCAACACAATAACCCTGAGCAAGGATTCTGACATAGACATTGGGATTTCAAAGACAGAGATATATCTCTGAACTGCCAAGACATATCAATTATTGATGGAGTGAATATTCTGCTATTTTTAAACTCACTTAATATTTTTGCCGAGAGCTTATTAGTTTGGTTGAGCTTGTCACCGTTATGACAATAAACGCCCCTCTCTTTCAAACGCCTCCTATCTATCAAATGCCCCATCTTGGACCTCTAAAATTAAATAGACACCCTGGTGTTTATCAGGTCATTTACAGTAAACACAACGCAAACTATATTAAAATGAAAATCAATGTATTATAAGTACAGACTACCTGCAAAAAGCAAAGCCAATCAAGGCTGGTAGTATGGAGACCTATCACTTACACTTACATTACAATATTAAATAAATGCATAGAAAGTTACAAAAATAATAAAATAATGTGATATTTAAAATTAATAATGAAATATAATAATTAATGTAACTATTATAATTATTTCAAAAAATTACTTTAATTATATTTATCATGATAGTAGAGTCCAACCTCCATTAAGTGGCCACCATTTGAGCATCCGCCTTCTACTTAGCAACTAGTTACCACAATAAACAAAGCCTCACTTTATACAGTGCAACCTTTATACAGTGGCTGCAGCCACATTCACCTCATTCCTGGGAGTGAATTTTTTTTTTTTTTTTTTTTTTTTGGGGGGGGGTATTTGGGTAAATTTTTGCTGAGTTTGTGCAATTGGCCTCTTAAGGCCCCTACCCCATTATAGTCTATTCTGTGGCCAATTATAGACCCCATCACTTTTGGGCAGATATGTAACTTTCACAATCCCAGCTTAGTAACTTTCTGTTTTTATGAATTGACCCATTTTTTAAATTGAACAAAGAACACTTTACTTTTCACCTACAGTACAAACAATCTCGTATGTTTGCTAGCCGTAAACATGAAGAACTATCTTACCCCAAAACATCCGAAAATGTGTGAAACATTCTAGTAACTCTATTGAAAATGCAACCCCATTATAGTCAATCCAGTCATGAAAATGCAACCCCATCCAGCAGCACATCCCCATATGCATTAGCCTCTTATAAGGAAGTACCCCTACCCCGGATGGTTCCATGCAAAACACTTTCCTTTGCTGATCCTCTATAAAGGGGACACTTGCCCTTAATATCAGTTTCCTCCTGACAGTTTCAATATATTATCAAGACGGTTGCAATAATTAATAATGTGATCAGCAAGAGAAAAATGCTCTGATGTCATATCAAATTCTCTCAACTAAAACTATAAAAAATGTTGGGAGACCAGAATGAGGAGTTTTGTGTGGATATTGGGTTTTTGAGGAGTTATATAGGTTGGACTGTACTTATATTCACCACTGACAATACCTCTACTCTCTTATGCAGAGTTAAATTTTCTAAGTTCCAAGATATTATTGACTGATCAGATCCCACGCTGTACAGCTTTCCACCTCCAATACACATGGCATGAATCTGAAGAAAACAGAAGGTTCTTTATGTCTACTGTTAATGCAAATATCACTCAAAACTTCTCCTTACTACTGCAGAGGTATTTAGGACTAATACATCTGGCAATTCAGAACCACTAATCCCATTACACAGAACATTCTCTGCTCAATTTTATAAGGAAAATTACATATGGCAAATACAAAAAAACAGCCTGATTTTCAAAAGATTATTGTACAACTAGAGATTTTGGAAATTAGCCTAATGCTGTTTTCCATGTTGGCTTTCCATTAGATAGAAATATCAGCCTAATGAAGCATAGCCTGCAAATTGGCAGCATAAGCACGCTTTTCTAGGGCCAGCATTTAACAAGGGAAATGCAGTACATGTAACTTAAATTTGCAGTGACTGGCCATTGCCAGACCACTGCAAGAGAAACAGATGGTTCCCAAACATATATCTTCATTTAAGTTACGTTACTTAACTCACATCATTACTGTGACCCTCAAGGACCTCAGTACATTTTGCCAGCCGCACATTTTCCATGTTCCAAACTTTAATAACTTGATCTCCCCCGGCACTAAAAAGGCGATGGCCCCTGGAAACCAGAGACCATATGCTTCCACGATGACCTCTGAAAGATAAACAATGTAACAGCTACTGGGAAAACTTGTGTGTTATCCACACTTTTTTGCATAAATTGAAAACAATGTATTGTAGTTGCAGATTACCTAGTATGGAACCATATATTTCAGGTGTTATAAGTTTGTTTACAGACTGTAAAAATTTAATCTAGTCCCCACTCTTTCCAATAAGCAGCTGGCATTTCTAGTAACTCCAATATAGACATGAGTAGCTTCCAGTGCAACAGTGTGGCAAAGGACAAACAGACCCAGAAACATACCTTAATGTACCAATGCACTTGAAGACACAAGGTATGCTCCAAGCATCATGATGTGTTGATGATACCATGTTAGAAGGCTTGAGTCTGGATTTATGGCCATATGAATAAGAAAGCTGGCCAGTTTCATCAGGACTTGTGCTCTGTGAGCTGTTTATTGTGTCTGGAATGGATGTCACTGACATTTCACGATAAAGTGATGATCGCTTTAGAATGACAGTGAGTTGTTCTACTTGGAACGATAAGTCTTCCACTGTTTCAGACAATCTGGAAATTGAACTAAAGCAAAATACAGAATTGTGGTTATCTAACCCTTGATCCACTGGGCTACCACTTACTTAGATCTTGTATTTTTTTCCTTATAATGTTTGCTTAAATGGCGCAAATTTGTGAGCCACACATGAGAAATAATAATTAAAAAACATATTTTGTTTAACATTGGAAGCACAATTAGAGTAGGGTTCCATAATGAGGACAGAGTCCCACACAAGGGATGCCACATTCAAAGTAACAATAATTAATTTATTTGACCATGAAACAGTAACTTGCCAACTAGGTTTCACCACCTCAAAAAGTATCCTCTTAAATAAAGCCCCCTTTTCCTCTCAATAAAACATATTTTCTAAATCATCTTACCCCCTCCCTCCCTCAAAATTATTTAATTATCTCCATCACTTTATCAATCCAATGCATCCCTTATGGCATGGATTGTGCCAATAATGGCACCTGGATTCAATTCCTTCATTTTTCTTCGTAAAATCTTTAGTTTCAGCTTTCATATTTTATTCACAAAATCAGTGTAAATTATCTTTAAAGGTTCATAGATATTCCTCTGAGGTTCTCTTATTACTGCTCTTTATAGATTATTCACCCAAACAATTTCTTCAAACAGGGTGGCTGTAAGAGTTGGCAAAAGAAACTTCAACATAGGGAAATCTGTCAGTTGTTTTGTTTGATCCTAGCTTTTGTTGTCCTCTTATAGACTGTAGCTAAAGCTGCTATTAATTTAAAAGAATGTTTTTATTTTTATCACTATTAACTCATTCGCCCCTGAACCGCCCGTAACCACCCGTGCGGATCCAGGTCCTCTCTACCCTTTGTGACGTCATCAGTTTTAATGGTCAAGGACAACTTTCTTTGCTAACTTGTGCAGAGTGAAGAGATCTTTCAAACCATACCAGAATGAGCACAATTCAGTCAAGGACACCAGAGAAAGAAGCAAAAAACCACGTGACATTGACCTGAAAATCTCCATGAAAATCTTATTCCATTGCCCACCTACCTTTCCTTTCACCTAATCCTAAGGTCCTAAAAGCTTTCCTAAAAACTCTTCCCACCAAAATGAAGCCTACTAAATGCCCAGCAAGAGAAAAAAAAAAATGAGGCAAGAAAAGCGAAAAAAGAAGGGAGGGGAGAAAACGAAAAGTAAAAGTCAAGACTGCTGTGTCACTTTTAAACCCAAAAACTCGAAATTTTGCTTTCTGCGCATGCCCGAACTTCCCAAGCTGATATTTTGCATCTGGATCAGAAGGCCGCAAAGTGTACGACCTGTAAACCGGTTTGTGGTAAGTGTTAGCTCTTTATAGCATGACAGTGACCAGAAAACCACTCGACTAGCTTCAAAACGCGTTTTTTGGCAAAATCTCCAGGAGCGAATGGGTCAATACATGTAACTATACACATCCCAAAATTTTTCCATCAAAAGACAAATGGAAATGTACCTGTTACATTGTTCAACTTGTGTCATCAGAGCATCTTGATTGTTTTCTAGCCACGAAACTCGCTCTGAAAGAACTTGTACTGATGAGCGTAACTCTTCAGAAGACTGCCAAGAAATAAACAACAGGAAGTTTTATTTCAAAATGGCTTATGCTAAAGCTTAGACCCTCTGGAGTCCCTCTGGCAGTGTAACAGGCTAATTTTCAGCAGTCACGTTGAATCTTTCTAAAATGAATACCTTGGGACAAAAGTATTGTAAGTTTCTGTGCTGAAAGTTGTTTGCAAAGGGTTATCCAAATTTAAGTGACTCTTGAAGGCTAATAGGATCTGGGGTGTAATTGGTTTCTTTTGGAAGACTGTGGTTAAACCTTTTGCAGGCTTGATTCCTTGAAGTGTAGTTGCCAGCTGAAAATTGTTTTTGGTTGGATCAGTCAGACCATGTTCAAGGTGTAAAATGCAAGCCACATTCAAATAAGCTGGTATGGAGGATGCTGAAAGTGCCCTTACTGGGAAAGTTGCATAGGGTTAATGCTACTGCTGACAGAGGTTGGTAACCATAGTATCCACAAAAGGATAGGTGTGAATGCACTTGACTCATGTAGGTGGACTTGGTAGAAAGTGCATATGTTTGATGCCAGAAATTGGTGACTTCATGTACAAGTTGCTGCAGATCCCTTGGATCCAAGGAGAGCAAGAGACAATGGTGGCATGTGAGATTCAAAGTCATTCTATCCAGGGGATGTGGAGAGCCATGCTTGGACGTTGGCCAGTGGTGCACATCATCAAGGGGTAAAACACTATCTGCCAGGGTGCTGGTTGTTCCTGGATGTGCCTGATGAACAAACTGAAGTTTTCATACTTCTTAAGCCAAAACAGGGAATGAATCCAACTCATGATCACCGGGCAAAAGTTTGAGCCTTTGTTTAGAATGGCTGCAGCCGCCTGACTGTCTGTCTTGACGAATAACTTAAGACCTGACCATAAAGGTGCCCAATGGTGTGGAACTAAAACAATGGGAAATGTCTCCTTGTAATAAAATGACATTGAGAGAGCATAGAGATGGGTAATCTAAGGCCCAGTTGACATACCCCCAGTCTGTTTCCCGTGGGCACCCCCACCAGACAGGGAGGCATCAGTAAGCACTGTTCTAGGACGTTCTGGGATGGCTGAGGGAAACAAAGTTTTACAGTTGTGTGCCATCGGGAGACAGGTACACCACATTATGTTGGCTCTCACATTTAGGTTTAGATAGAAGTGATGATATGGGTGTTTAACCAAGTTTGTCAAGGTAATAAGATGCCTAAGAAATGTGCGGCCCCCTTGAATAACATGTGCTGCCCATTTAAGCTTGCCTTGGAGTCGTTGGAAGTGAAGCTTGGTACATTTACATTTTAAGCTTGTTCCCCTGAGAAGGGATAACAACTCGGACACACGATCTTGTTAGAGATGGAGCTCACAGTGAACAGTGTCGATTTCAACTCCAAGAAAAATCAGACATTGGGCAGAGTAAACAACTTTGGTCCAATTGAGAGTGAAACTGAAAGACTCTGACTTGTAAGTTTAACAGGGTGTTAAACTTTTGCCAGATTCTGCAGGATGTGGTATCTTTTAGACGGGATCAGTCCCTGCATTTAACAATGTGGTCGAGACATCTCCTGCTAAGTTCTGAAGTCAAAGTACCAATTTACGAGAAAGCTCTGCAGTTGAGTGTGGGTTCAGTATTGGGGGTCTTGAGCAGTATCAGACTGTTGCTGCCATTGTGAGTGGGTTCACGAGCACAGCGGTTTGATGCAAACATGATTGTATTTACAGGAAGAGGCAAAGTGGCAACCTCCATGCTGTTGGTAATTGTAGCAAACTTACTTCCCTGTTGCTGGGTTTAGGACTGGGCAGGATGTTTTGCGAGCAAAGCTACCATCTGTACCAGCACATGGCAAATGAGTTGCATAGAGTCCCGGGGGGGTACTGCCATATATGGGCTATATAGGTATGTGCCGCTGTGAAGGGTATGGTTTTCAAGCAGTTTACTCTGGGATAGGGTATATAAATCAGAGCGTTTGGCTCTAGAATAGGGTATCATTTTTCAAGAAACTGATCAGTTGGTTGAAGATTTTATCTAGACTACGTACACAGCTACTCTAGGATAGGGGGATTTGGGAATTTTACTCTAGTATAGGGTAGCAAAATTCAGCTGAACTAGCTCTGGTAAAGGTTAAGGGTTCCAGGCTCCCAGCGGCACATCCCCACCCAGAAATTCCTAAAGTACCCCCCCCCCGGGCATAGAGTGCATGTCAGAGAAAGAAACTAGTGCCAGTCATCCCTCCCTTCTAGCTAGAGTTCAGTACAAATAAATGCAATTTTTTTAGACAAAAAAGGGCCACAAATGTGAATTTCTCGCAGGACTTTAGTCCGCGATTGTATGCCTTACTTTGGTTTTGTTGCATACTGTGAAGAATGACTGCATGAAGGACTACATAATGTGAAATCTACACAAATCTGGGTTCAAATCAGGCTGTTCAAGCATGATTTTTTTAAGCTTTATGGAACAGACTTGGGCCAAGGATACTTTTCTCTATAATGTAAAAGACGTACAAAATTGCACTTAATTGTCAACATTCATTACTTTACCCCAGAATGGAGAGCTTGACATTTTGGAGGATCTGCACTGTTTTTGTATTGACAAGTGTTACAGTGTTCATCCACATTCAATTTTGTACCAACATGTTCACATCCTGCAAGAGATCAGAAACAACCAGCTTTTAACTTATAACTAGGCTTGGATCAGTTGTCAAAATTGGGATATGATGTACAGCTTTTTCTGTTTTGTTTGCTTGCTCTTTTCTCGCATGTCAAAAGCTTTAAAGGGCAGACAAGTGATTAAAGGACAAAAGCTGTCGTGGATTTCTTATTCTGAATATTTTTTAAGGGGAGGATTAACAGTCTAATATATTTCATTGGTACAAATGGACCAAATGGAACAATCATTTTAATAACACAATTATACCAAGCTTATGAAAATCCCTCCAACAGTGTTAAAATGAGTTGTTCACTGACATCACCTTTCAACAGAGCAGATGTCTTTTCAATGTATAAATAATGAACTGAGTTGAGCTTACTTTTTATACAAAGAAAAAAACACAGAATGACAAGGCGGCATTTAATTTCAATTAACGATACTTGATCGTGAGTTGAACAGCGTCAAAGGAACAACCTTAATAATAAAATGAAATCACGTACCCTTTACACTGTAAAGGCAACGGTATTGAGCACAGTCTTTAAGGTGATCGTCCAAAGCTTTCCGCCGAAATTTCCCGCACTGGTTTGAGCTATTAGGACAGGGTACTAGAGCGAATCCACAGGCTTCTTCATGTTCGGTTCGCTTGCCAAAAGAAATTCTTTCTTGACAACCAGTTAAGTCTATTTCAAAATCTTCTTCCGAATCAGATCTCGTTAAACCATGCCTACAGTAGATCTGCAGGTCCTCTATTTGACCTTTCACGGCCAAATTCGACACCAAATGAAACCGTTGTAAAATCGTACCATCCAAGGGGCATTTTGTTCCCGAGTTTCCGGTGAGTGAAACGCCATTTCGAATGCAGTTTCTACAAAATGTATGCCCACATTGAGTCGAAATAACCGGATCCTCGAATAGTTCTCTACAAATTGGGCATTTAAGAGACTCGGACGGCTGAACGACGAACTTTGTAGGCAACATATCCGCCCGGAAACCTTATCAGACGGATTTGCGCACTATTTTGACGGTCGAATTATTCGAGGAAGGTTGATTACGGATTCACAACCAATCAGCTGTTGGTGTATTTCACCGCTGACGTTTTCTCCACGGGCGCAAAAAATATTGGCAAACTTCTTCCTTCTTGCAAAAGTTGCATGAACTATGAACTACCTCCAACAGCAAACGAGCAGAGGAGATGAGAGTTCTTTACGTTTATTTTGTTACTACTTTACTTTATTTTCTAACGATGGGAACTACATTATATGGAGATACAGAAGATCCTTTTGTAGCTGACATCCTTACGCCATACAAGGATTACTACAGAACGAAAAGAACACATCGCTTTGTACGGGACTGCCAACCGATTGAACGTGGCAACACAACCCACGAAATATTCAATGTTTCCAGACTCCTAAACCCCGAAAAACCTTTTGTACAAGTGAACAATTTCTACCACGAATTTAACAGAGATGGTAAAACGTTGAATGTCGTAGGACGTGTTGTAACGGTGGAGGATCCGATAAGGACTATCTCTGTTTTAGAACCGAAAGAAGTCGGAGGTTGTAGTAAATTTACGAGAGCGACTGTCGCCGAAACTGGCAAGCAGAGAAATTGTTTCGTCTCCACTAATGGAGGAATGTTTAGAACTATGGACGGCAAGTGCTATGGAAATATTTTCAGTGACGGGAGAAAAGTACAAGATTCTGGCGGCGTTCAAAATGCTAATTTCGGAATCCGGCAGGACGGTACACTTGTTGTAGGATATTTGTCCGAGGAAGACGTTCTTCGGAAAGAAAATCCTTTTATTCAGCTTGTTTCTGGTGTTGTGTGGCTTTTGAGAAATGGATCTAGTTATGTAAAAGAGAGCAAAAAGGCAGAATGTCGTGACACGGAGGAGACAGGACCTATGGACGTTTTTGCGGGTGTTTTGTCGGCCAGAACAGCGCTTGGTCATGACAGCCAAGGGCGAGTCGTGATGGTGCAGGTAGATGGAAAAACTAAAAAGCGTGGGTAAGAATTTTTTTCGTTCCTTGATAATCGTATAATTTTATTTAATTGGCGATAAAAGAATATTAAATAGAAGCTAGTCTGGTGGTAATCACATGACTTAGAGGGATTCTTTTCACTGAGTTCAGTTGCCATGGAATTTCAAGAAACCAGAAATACAATCCCTTAATGTTCTTATTGCTGTGAAAGAAAATCAACATTTACCTTTCTAAACTAAAAAGTAAGCATGGGTAAAGTTTCCCTAACGAATAAAGTTTATGATCACTAATTGACAGTTTTCTTAGCATTTTTTTTTTCCCAAATAATTGGAGGAGCTTATTTTCAATTTTTTTCAATATACAGTACATAAAGGGTAGTGATTGGTATGATGAATAGGTCATGAAGAACACTGCAAAAACTATTCAAAATTATAAAAATAATAAAGAAATCAGTTAATGCAGTGCTTGACACTACTGCTAGTCCACTAGACTAGTGAAACTTCACGCTGGGCTTGTAAACATGTGCTCCTACTAGCCCTTAGACCAGTTACTTTACTAGAGAAAATTAATTTTAAACAACTTCTGGAGCTTGGGAAGTTCTTTTTCTATGCTTCATCAGTAGTTAATTTCTATAGCTTGAGTATTAAATGTAAAACCTAATCGTACGATTGACTCGCAAAACAGATGCCATGTTGGAAATGGAATTATGCGTGAGCTGGGTGAAATCCATCACAGGTGCGCCTGATTTTGGAATTTTTTTCGCGCATGTAAGAGAAAGCATCCTTCAATGGCCAATGATTCTTAAGCAGATTTTCATTGTTTGCCAGAGGACCACACACAGTCTGAAGAGAAAGAGATGCAAACGGTTGTCGTTTTCTAGATCTCTGGAGGTTGAAAGAAAAATATCCTCGGCTGGGATTCATTAGCGGCAAAAGTGTCTTGTGGAACTTGTGGCAGTGTGTGTACTCGAACAGTAGCGCTAAGAGATCAGCAAATTCAAACTATCCTTCAATCACAGAAACAGAAAATTTCTGTTGTCTGTCTCTACCGGTTTAAAGTTGGACCTTCATAAAATGTATTGACTGTATTAATAAAGAATTGGAAACAAACAAAGATAACACAGCAAGTGTTTATCCGTTTGCGTTTCGTTTTAAAATATATAAATATAGACTGAACACCGGAAGGAGTAGAGTGGTGCCTTACCCCTTGGGTGTGTTTTTGTCTGGGCTTTTTTTTGTTTTTGACCAGTGACTTGTCCTCTTGGGCTAGTGATTTATTTCACTTACTAGCCCATTGCCTAGTGTCCAAAAAAGCAAGTGTCAAGTACTGTAATACAAATAAATTTTGATTTGCACAGTTATAGCTTGTTTCAGAGTGCTTTTTATATTCCAGTTTGTATAAAAAGCCCTATTGAATATAAGCACCTCTGTTTAAAAGCCCTCCTAAACCCTTACAAAAATATATAAGACCAGGGTTTATAAGCAGCAGTTCACAATAATGGCCGTAACACACTGATGAATTATTTTACTTTATTGTTTTAAAGAATCGATTTGTACAGTTTTGCTGATCTTCTGTTAAAATTTGGTCTTGTAAATGCCATAAACCTTGATGGTGGAGGCTCTTCAACAATGGTGGTGAATGGAACTGTTGTCAATTATCCTTCAGATCAATGGTAAGTGCTTAACTTAAGTGGTACATTTTTTTACTTGCTATCATTCATATGCTAAAAATGATCACTGAGTAAAACCTGTTACACCTGGAACTACAACCCTGGTCAAAACTCTTGGGACACTCACGCAATAGCTCGTCAAATTGAGGCATCTTCCCGCGCCCCTTCCCCCTCAGTGCAGTATTGACGTTATGTATTCAAGTTTTAATTCAACACAATCAACATTGCTTTGGGGAGAGTGGGACAGCAGAAATAGCCCCTTATAGCAACATCCCCAAGCTTTTTTAAGAGGTAGAATATGAGTTAATTTAGCAAAGTGCGTCTTTGTGCCAAATTTCCTCAAGTGTCCCAAGACGTTTTGACCAGGGTTGTAGTTGCATAAAACCTATATTAGGGAGCTTAAACAACAACAATGACCAAGGCTATAAAGACATTACTTAAAATTAAGTGAATTTTCACTGCTTCGACCTTTATTGCGCGTATTTCATCTTGTTTAATTGGTCATATGCTAGCAAATTTTTTTGGAACTGAATTCTAAAAGACTGTATCAAAGTTCAATAAAAGAGGGAGAAAGTCATTGTCTTGTATTCATGTTCTCCACAAAATAAGAATTTAGGCACTTTCACATCGTAGTCGTGCAGTGACGGCAACTTAATTTACAAAAACAGGTGACTGCATGCTTGTGTGGAGTTCAAGAATTTCAATGATTTTTATTGTAAACAACCAAATTGCCCTTGTCTTTGAAACTGACTTGTTAAATTAAGAAGAATCAATGCGGAGAGTTGGTAGGTTTTTTATTTAGAGCCACGTTGTGGTTTTTGCAGTGATTCTGTTTATACCAAGCGTCAGTGTTCGTTTTTTGTGAGATTTTATATACAGTCGAACCTCTGGTAAGCAACCACCTCAGAAATTCAAAAAAAGTGGTTGTAACTAGAGCTGGTCGCTTACGAGAATGAGCTCTCGTAAGCGACCACACAGTAAAACAATAGAGGGTGGTCGCTTACAAGAACTTCAAAAGCCATTAATAATTCATAAAAAAAAACAAAAAGAAATCAATGTTTAATGAGTGTCTTTATACATGATATGTATAGATACAACTGTACTTTACGTCCAATTTTTCAGACCAAAATAACCCCAAATCTAAACATTAGTGCAAGAATGAGTTGATCTATGTCAGGTGATTTTGAAGCTGTTCAATAAACTCACAGTTCCTGTTTTATCGAGTCTGAGTGGTCACATACAAGAGCTTAAAAACAAAGGAAAAATCCAGTTGGGTAATCCCAAAAGTGGTCAGGGCCGCTTACGGGAGAGGTCTTTTACGAGAGCTTTTCATTACAAAGTTTAAGTCACAGTTCAAACAGGGTTTCACAAAGGTGGTCATAAGTAGAGCTGATTGCTTACAAGAGATGTCGCTAGGGGAGCTTTGACTGTAATTCGAACTTCTTGTCTTTTCCATCGTGAAGCGTAATGATTCTGTTAGCTTTTCTTTCTTGTTTTCTTTCTTCTTTCTTCTTCGTTAAGGACCAATTTTTTTTTTTAATCAGCTCTCCCTTTTTGTTATCTCTAGTGGTAAGTTCAACTGCCCAAGGCATGTGACCACAATTGTGTGCGCACATGAGCCCGACTGTGTGCCCAGGAACTGCAATGGTCATGGACAGTGTGTGATGGGACGGTGTGTTTGTGACAGTCAGTGGACTGGGGAATCTTGTGATGTAGTAAAGTGTAAAGAAAATAATTGTTCATCAAATGGAGTTTGCTCTCAACAGGGTGAGTCAAGACAGGCTATACTTTATGTTGACTCAGTTTGAAAATTATCTTGAAAAATGTGTCTTATTGTAATCTCCACGAAGTGGTATATGAAAGCATCATGTTCAAACATTTCTCCTGCAGTAGTAATTTTTGTCATTATCCTTGGAAGTTTCTATCTACTGCAACATTGATTTTCTCAGAAGGAATGCCTTGCCACACAAAAATAATAGCTTATGTGTATAAGGGAAAAATATATTAATAAAATGCTGCCAACAAATGAAATTCTATGCAGGGACAAGCCCAATGCAAGCAATTATTGGAATGCTTGTAATGTATTGTGATGCTGTAAACAAAAAAGACAGTAAAAAACAATACAGGAATTATCGTCAAGGAGTCAACAGATCTACAAAAATGCCAGTAAGGTTATTGCTGTGATTAAAAGCTCTTACTGCAGGATAATAATAATTTATTATATATGCCTCTATTTTTGAGAGTAGCAATTCATAATGAGCTGCCAGGTGAAAAATGTGAAGATCTTTCTGCTCTTAATGAGACCTTACAAGTCATGTTATCTCTTTCTTTAAATTTGTAGATGGCTGCTTGTGTTTTTCTGGTTGGAGAGGGGATAATTGCAGTGAAGGTTAGTCTTGACAACAATAGACCCTTCTACCGTGTTTTTTTTTTAGTGTGGACAAAGACCAGTCAGCCATTATCCATTAACACTGCCGGAAAGAGTGCCTTAATCTTTAAATAAACTTGCCAAGTTAGAAAGTGATACATTTAAAGCAAACAGAAATATTGCTCCTTAAAGTCACAAATTTTATCAAGTTTGTATCGTGGGGGGCATTAACTTTAAGGCATATCCCGAGAAGTCTTAGGTTAATAGGTTTATCGCAGAGGCTATGAAAGAAAAAAACTGACTGACTTTAAATCTCTAGAGGATGGCATCCTTGATTTAATGAAAAACTAGTAAGTCCTTATCCCAGGAATTATCAGATCGTTGCATCATTATGAGAACAGTATTATACTTTAGGAGTTGTTTTTTTAAGAAACTCTTGTTAGTTTGCATTATAATGATATTGATTTCTGTTACAGCTTGCCCTCCAGGCCTGTATGGAGTAAATTGCAGCAGGGAATGTCTTTGTCTGAATGGCGGAACGTGTAACCGCCTCAATGGAGAATGTAATTGTAGTTTAGGCTGGACTGGATTGTATTGTCAACACCGTAAGTGTTAATACCAAAAAATTATTTTCTTATTTGCTAAGGACCATTTGTGCTACTTATTGTTTAGTTAAGTGCTCTAAATCTGTTGTTACTTTTCAGATTAAACCTGTCTGGTATAACTTGTGCCCAGTTATATTTATCTATTAGGATTTTATAAAAATGAATTTGAATTTTTTATAAAGTTTTTCTTTGGCCACTATTGGAAGTGAAATTTTTCACTAACTGCTTTAAAACTGAAATAATTATGGTAACCAGGCACTGCAAACGATGTCATCCTCTGAGAAATGCTTATTTGGGTCGATCCTTTCCTGGAATTGGCTGGAAAAGGACTTATGCAGTCTCCCTGGGGTCTTCTCCCATGGGGCAGGGGGAGGGGGCGAGGGGGTTGGCTGAATTACTGCAAAGATGTTAGCAGGTTCATCCTTCTCTATGGATTGTACATTTATGTTATTTTTTCATTGTCATCAAATTACCGGTAGTTACAATCATCATTGTCATCATCTCTGTCCTTGTTATCATTATTTGTAATCTGCTATTTTGTTAAATTTATCAGGCTGTTTTCCTGGAAGTTATGGACAGAATTGTTCAATGATTTGTGATTGCCCTAACACATGCAACTGTGATCCAGAAACTGGTGAATGTCTTTCTGCACACAACAATACCCTGCTCAACGCTACTCAGAAATGTAAGTCGGCATTCTAGTGCACACAGATCCATCCTTTGCTTACAGAGAGGGTGGAAGTTGCACAGGCACGTTATTGCACAATTCAGAAGTATTTGGACAACCCAGACTGTATAGCTGTCTGTCTCTACACTATGGACTTTAGTAAAGTGTTTGACTCTGTTAAGCATTCCCTATTAGCTGCAAAATTAGAGAAGCTTCTTATTAATCCTTATATTATTAATCTGTCTTGAGATTTTCTAAAAGACAGGCAACAGAGAGTGATGCATAACACTTCTAAGGGGTCATGGAGAACGGTCAATAAGGGCACCTGTCAGTGTAGTGTTAGTGGCCCTTATTTTTTAAAATTTTTCTAAATGAGTTAGAGATCTCATAGGATAATTGTACTTTTTATGATTCAACGATAATTGCCCCAGGTCGTTAGATCTGGTGACCAGGTTCATGGAGTGGTTTTGGATCAACTGTATGACCTGCAATCCAATATTAAGTGCAAAGAACTTACCTTTCTCAAGAAGGGTTCGAACGTGGATGCTTTCTATCCACCTACTGCAGATATACGGCAATGTAAAAAATTGCAACTCCTCGGAGTGTGTTTCCAGGAAGACTCACGTTTTGTTAACCACGTCAAGGAGATGTTTACTAAGGCTAACAAAGGCCTCCTTGTTTTAAGATCTCTATGCACAAAGGTTACAGTCAGTTAGAAATAGACAACCTATTTAAAGCTATAGTGTTGCCAAACTTAGTGCATGGTATGTCAGTATTTGGAGCTTCCAACTTTCAACTATACAATGTGTTCAGAATAAATACTTCAAACATATTATATTTCTCACAATGTTAACATCCACGAGCTCCTAGAAAAACAAGACAGAAGAATTTACAGCAAAATTTCTTGGTCTGATGGCCACCCTCTCTATCACATGCTTCTCAAAGCAAAGGATACTATAAAAAAGTGCCAGCTACTTCGTGTTTCTGCTCTAAGGCTGAAAATTAACACCCAAAGGTTTATGAACACTAAAATAAATTGTTTAATATTATAACTTAGCTATTTAGATTTTTTCTTTTATATCTTTTTTTAAAGTTTTTACCATGATGTCATTTTACCATTTTGGCTATTTATAATTTTTAAAATTCTTTTATTTTGTCATTTTATCTGCATGAGCAGGGATCCATATTCATTTTTCCGCACAGTCATCAGCTGGGCAAGTAAGCCTGATGGCATACTTGCCTGGTTATAATTTGGGATGCCTAGGCAAAAGTGCAGAATTATATAAAAGAATTGTGAAAAAATTGGTTGCAACTTGAAAATTTCTGATTAGCAAGTTATTTCCGTTAAAGTTACTAAGAAAGGGTTTAACTAAACTGTTAAGTACAACAGGTGCTAAACACGGTTTATTTACTTTTTGCAAGTAGCCATGGTCGGTCAGTTTGTTTTGAAGGCAAGACAATGCACTTACGTTTTTCCCCATATAAGGCAGCAGCTCCTGTGTCACCTTTTTTTCCGTCAAAGGCAGCGAAACGTCTTCTGAAAAACGTCACATCTGGATGTGTATAAAGCACCAGCTTCTGCCTCACCTTTTTTTCCACTGAAGGCAACGAAATGCCTTCTAAAAAACGCTACATCTTGATGAGTGCTGTCACGTTTTCTAATGGCCTCTGAACGCAGTACTTCACAAAAACTGAGCCCACGATAGTTTCATAGAAAATATACTGCATCATCAAAGGTGGAGCCCAAACTTATGATTTCGTTGCAGACAAAAGCTGCTTGTTATTCTCCATTATTCCAAAAGTTTTAAGTGGATGAGAAGTAATCAGAACACAGGGAAAGTGTATAAAATCATACAAGAATTTTTGAAAAGATTTTGTGGTTGAGCAAAACCTCACTCGTCCGAAAGGCAACTTTCAAAGTTATCTTAATTGTCTGTACAAGACTGTAGTCGTCTGGACAACTGGACAACTGGGAATATGGATCCCCTTATCATGTATTTGTAACATTTGGCTCTTTTCTGAATAGTTGTTGTAACACAGAATATGTATTTTTATTCTATGAAATAAAGACAGACAATTTGTAATATTATTATCATTATTATCCTCAAGAAAATTTGTGTTTACGTATGTCAAGAACTTATTATTATGTCTCCTTTATCATCAGGGCTGCAGTGCCAGTTAGATTTACGAATGAGCAAGTTACTTCCAACATCTAATGCTAAACAGCCCAGTACTGAAAAAGTCGTCACCGTGGAAAAGGAATTTAGGTATTCCTGGATTTTTTTTGTTTTATTATGCCAGATGACCCATTTAAGGGTCTTTGAAATATCTGTATTAAAGATCATACCTTTATGACATGATTGCATCATTAATATACTGCAAGGGTCGGCAAATGGTAGCGAGAAAATCCTTGGACTTTTAACCTTTTCACACTCTCAAACTCTTGTAACTAATAATATTGTAACTGGTCTCAAATTCTCTTTCTTTGTGAATTTTATTTGTTCTTTTATGAAACTTTTTGAGTCAAAGTCTCAAGAGTTTTTTTGCCAGGTTTCAGCCTCATGGCAAGTTGTGGACTTTACCATTCATTAGGGACCTTAAGATCCGACGAAGGCGACAGCAATGGGGACGCCACAAAAGCAATAGGTTTAATTAGCAAAACAACAATTTTGCATGTGCATCACGCTTTTTTGTACATTTCTTTGCGGTCACTGCACGACTACGATGTGAAAATGCCTAATTTCACGATGTACAGAAGGTCGTGAGGAGGTACACAAGTGACGACGAAATTTCCTTTCTCTTTCTGAACTTGAATATGTTTCTTAGGAATTCAGCTTAAGGAGGGTTCACCTACATTTGACAAAGCTAGTGACTTGGAGTAATCTCAATGAAGACTGAAAGAACGCAAATTCACTTTATCAGCGACGTTTTCTCTGCCGTCGCCGTCCTCGGATCTTAAGGTCCCTATTGCCTCCAGTGCAGAATCATTTGATCCTTTACTTTTAACTAAAATTAGCTTTAGAGGATGTAAGAGAACCAAGATGAATGTTTAAATGAAGAGGTTTAGACCGTGGATTATAGTCTGACCTGTCAGTTCCTCCATTATTATGATTTTAAAGTTAATAGATTTTTTTTTACTAAACAAACTATCAACCTAATGGGCTGACTTGAATAAGTGAATTATAAACAATAAAAATACTTGATAATTCTTTCCTCTCATAGGCGGCGGAGCAGGGAGGGGGCAAAGACGTTTGCTTGTGCTAAAGAACAACACAAAGGGCATTTTGGAAAATCTGAGTAAGGGCATGCGAAAAGCTGAGTGGAAGATGAGCCCCCCCCCCCCCTTCATGTTTGAAAATGCTCTCTCACCACTGCCTTTTGTGGAGCTTTCCAGGGGTAATAAAATGAAAATAATACACATGGAACATGAAAATTATTGTTATGTTAAGGATGCCAAATGGCTGGAGGTAGACCAGTTACATGTGTAGTCATTTTACAAGGGGGGTTGAGGATTTGAACTTGAGACTACCAAGAACAAATCTAGTGGGGCCTCTGGACTGCAAAACCATCACTCTAACCGCTCAGCCATACCGCCTCCGTAAATCTTCATTACTGGGATTACTTAGTAAAGCAAGCTGATGAGTTTTCCTCTTTTTGAAAGCTTTTTCTTTGTTTTCTTTGATCATTGTGGTAATTGTTTGGTAGTAAAGCTGATTTCTTCTGTTTATTTACCTTCCTTTAGCAAGCTGTTTGTGTGGTTTATAGCAGTGATAAGCCTCTGTGGTATCAGCCTGTTGGCTAATTTGATTTTGATATACCTTGCCTGTAACCAAGCCTCAAGAAGTGCAGTCTGGACTCGCAGGATGGGAGAAAGACAACTGCTTTTCAGCGATGATGACAATGAGTTGTGAAGAACCTTACAAGCAGTCATTACCAGTGATAGTTGCAACACTCTGGAATTGATACTGTTTCACAAACTAGAAAATACAATCTAGCTACTGTTGGTTGATACAGTCTAGCTACTGTTGGACATTACAGTTTAGCACTTTTGGTCGATACAGTGTAGTGGCTAGTTTAGCTACTGTTGGTCATTACAATCCAGCTACTGTTGGACAGTACATTTTAGCACTGTTGGTCGATACAGTCTTACTGTCTAGCTACTACTGGAGAGTGCAGTTAAGCTACTGTTGGACTGTACAGTTTAGCTACTGTTGGTTTATACTGTCTCACTGTCTAGCTATGGCTGGACAGTACAGTCTAGCTACTGTTGGACAGCACAGTTTAGCTACTGTTGGACAGAACAGTTTAGCACTATTGGTCGATACAGTCTTACTGTCTAGCTACTGTTAGACTGTACAGTTTAGCTACTGTTGGTTGATACTGTCTTACTGTCTAGCTACTGCTGGACAGTAAAGTCTAGCTACTGTTGGACAGGACAGTTTAGCTACTGTTGGACAGTACAGTTTAGCTACTGCTGGACAGTACAGTCTAGCCAATGCTGCAAAAATAACACAGTATTATGGCTACTGTTGTAACTGTTGTACAATACAGTCCAACCATTTTGGAAGCCTGTGATTTTTGTCTGATGCCCACTAGTTGACCACTTTGAATAATCACTCTCTGAATGTATCTGTTACAGGTCAAAATTATTTTCAGGTTAAAATTTTTTAACCTAGGTTGATTTTCAATTTTCTTGGTGTCCTAGGCCTAATTATTAAAGAATGAGGGCTAGGAGACAAAAAAAATGAGAATTAACTCAGGAATATTATTTTGACCTGTAACATATCCATATACTAGTGACTGAATGGAAAAACAGCAGAATTTAATGTTGTCATTGCGGATTAGTTTCATTATAATTGCCACAGGCAGTATACACTGGCAGAAATTTTTTGCCTCCATCCTTCTTCATAGATGTATACCTTCATCAGGATAAAATAACACATGAAAATAAAATACAAACATACAAGAAAGATGATCAACAATGTTTCACAGGGAACAGTTATTGCCTAAAACTGTTTCATTTCATAAGTCAAGAGAACAGGGAAGAATTAATGATATTTAGATTCTAGTACCTTTTTAATGATAAACTAAGTTAAATGAAAAGAAGAAACCCTAATTCATTATTTAAACCGGGTTTACATCAATTTGTATTTAATTTTCAAATTTTTGAAGGCAATACCGTGCTTTTTGCATCAAACGTAGTGTCATTGTTGGAATCGTTTTAGTTAGGGTAGAATTTTTAAATTGTTATAGTAACCATTGTATACCAGTAGTAAGAGTAAATCTGTGATATTTATATTTCTACTAAAAAGTAGAAACACTGTTAATTTCCATTTGTAAGTTACCTGTAATGATGTGACAAGGTATTTTAAACTGAGGAATGATAATAAAATTTCTAATGAAAAAGTAAGGTTAAGGCACTAAGAGTCATTGGGCCATCACTGGGCCATCATTGGGCCCACACAGCAGGAGCTTATCCTGGTGACTGTAGCATGAAGCACCTATACAGACTCTTCCCTGGGTGGGATCCAAGTCCATCCCAGTGATACTTTCAACAGTATGCAATGTTACCAGCACACATTTATACACCTGGTCCTAGTTGTTTAAATGCCAGATAGCACTATCCATTGGATAAATCACTATCAAGCAGATAAGTATTAGGGAAACCAACTGTGTTATCCACCTTTTGAAAAACTGGGCCCTGGGTGAAAAGAAATGTTGTGGAGAAAAGGATCTTGTCTGAACAAACAACGCAACAGTGAGGCTGGAACCCAGACCTCCATATCCGAAGCTCAAGGTGTTAACTTCTTAGCCACTACTCTTTCTTTCAATTATAAAGCTTTTTGTAGTGGAGAATGGGATCTCAAGTGAATGTGACCTTTCCTATTCCCCTCTTGGTATTTCTTCTCTGCAGAATTTGATGAGGCATTATTAGTATCTGTTGCATAAAGTGAGTGAATGTGCCATGGTAAAAAAAAATCCTTTACTGACTATTTCCCTGTTATACACTTGCATTAACCTAAGTTCAGGATCTCGTCTTCATGCCCATGTGTTTAGCCACTTGCGTAACATGCATATATGCACGTACACCCATGAATACGACTGAAATCAGGGGAAAATTTTTTTTCAATATTTCCTGAAAGTATTTTTATCATTAAATCAGAATGATCGATAAATTTTTTGCATTATATTGGTGTCTTTGGGTAAGTATTTCCTAAGATGTCTCACCCTTTGCTTGTAACCTCCTTGATGGTGTCTTGTTTTACCCTTTTTTCCTGTTTTTTTTTTTTTTTAATTACAGTAACAACTGTACCTTAAGGATAACCCTTGCTTAAGATGGGTTAAATAAACAGCTACTGCTTTTTGTCATCTTTATTAACTGAAAATTTCCTGCAGAAAAAGGAGGAAATGACATTTCCAAGACCCTACATTTTAAAATTTTCTGGGAGACCATGTCCCGGGAACCCCCCTAGTCTTTTTCCTGTGAGTACTGCAGTACACCTTCAAAATCTCACTCTATGCCTGTGATAGCTTCACCATAATGTGAAGCCAGCATTAAAAGTATGACTGTTTATAGACCTTAGAGATGTGCCAGCTTTAAAGAAATGACAACACTTGGTTTAAATTTTACGGCAATGACCTATACATATATAATTATTTGTCAGTTAAATTATTTCTGCCAGCTGCTGTCTTAACAGATTTTATTAGATAAACTTGAAAGTAGTAAAATTTGCCCTATTTTGTACATTGTCTACATCACAACAAAGTATTTCTTGAAAGTGAATATATTACTATGAAGACATCGTTGATATTTCAAAATGCATCTTAAAAAATACACAATGTAAATATTACGACATCACAGGAAATCTACATTATTTAAGGCCGATTAAAAGTATTTGTTTTACTTTCGATACAGCCGTGTTTTCAAACGTAAACCAAATGTTCCCTTTAGAACAATAGGAAAGCTACAGTGCTATAAAGAGATTGATTATCAAGTTTCATTTAATTGCTAAATCCCTACGTCGTCAAAAATTGTAGTTCTTTAAACCGAAACACAATCCACCAGAGTCACCCAACCTTGGTCTGTCTTCAGGCAAAGTCCACTGATGTCTGGGTCGCAAGGTGACACAGGAAATAGGGATCTCTGCCATATAAACGGTCTGTCTCGATACTTCTACTAAAATTCAATATGGTTTCCACTACTCTCTAGTAAACAGGCTAACAGAAAACTTTCCAGGGGTAAAGCTGAATTCCCCGTACTGAATTTCGGTCCATTATGTAGCCATCTGAAGGCGCATCTGATCGCGTAAAAACGAAACCATTCTATCCATTAGCTGTTCTCGCACAAGCAATCCAGGGCCGCCGCTCAGAAAAGCTATGAGCGCCAAGGAATCATCAATATGTAAATTGTCGATAATATCCTTCATGCTGTCGTAGAGAAGCTGTCTTTCGTGGGCATTCATGTCTTTAATAACAGCAGAGACTGGCTTGAAATTTCCTGTAGTGTTGTAAGCCAAGAGTCCACCAACAGCTCCACCGATCATAAGCCCGGGTGGGCCAGCCAAAAGGCCGCCGACTGTGGTTGTGATACCAGCTACAACTCCACCATACGCAGCGTTCTTCACGGTGACTTTTAGCTCATTTTCGTCGGCCAAAATGGCCATAACTCGCTGTAGCTCAACCGCGGACACAGGCATGTTTGTTGGAGATCGCAGTGTGTTCAGAAACAGAAGCACGACGTCACCTTCCACGAAAACGAAAAGATCTTCCGGGTATTCCCCTAATGAATCATGCCACCTGGCCTTCTATCCCAGTGCTTCCGGTAACACGTGATAAGCGTCCCTACCGACCAGTAGCTTGGATAATAAATAATAGATAGAATAATATACAGGAAAATGATAATACAATAAGAATGGAAATAGAAAAAGTTCAATATTCATTCCTTCGGTTCAGACCGTCTGTTGACAGCCTCTATCTCTATGAGGTACGCTTCTCTTGCCTTTTGGCGTGACATGCTGAAAGTGGGTTGAAATTCAAGCGGAATAAGTTCCATGTCTGCGATCGAGTGGCCAGGTTGATTAAAATGGGAAGGGACTGCTGCTGTGGCGTTTGCGTGGAGTGGACTCGGACACTTCGTCGCTCGCTCGGTCGCTTCGCCACCTAACAAAGCTCGTTCCGCTCGCTAAGAAACTCGTGAGATCGACTTATAGGAAGTCTACTGCGTAGCTCCTTGAAGGAGAAAAAGGAAACAAGTTTTACCAATCCGTAGAATGCTGAGGCGGGAGAGCATCTCTTTAAAGAGCTTGCGTGAGTGAGGCTCGATGGCTGTTTTTCCTGGGCCTTTTCCAGTGGCGGATCCAGGGGAGGGGCCCGGCGAGGCCGCCCCCCCCCCCCACCCCCCTAGCCTGCGAAAACATCCGTTTCTCCTCGCTCTTCGCCGCTGTGGAGTGTGGACGTTTCGCGGCGAAGAGCGAGGAGAAACGGATGTTTTCGCAGGCTAGGTCCCCCCCTTACTTCTGAGGCCCGACCAAAAACATTTTTTTTTTGGAGACCCCCCCCCCTTATCTCAGGGTGTGTATGACCGCCCCTCCTCCCCCCCTTATCTGGAGGTCTGGATCTGCCACTGTTTTTCGTTCTTGAACATCCAGAGTCCAATGTTATTGACCGTTATTGTCAATATTTATTAGAAAATTGAGATGGCAAATCAGTCGCATTATGTTGGTGAACGTGGGCTGGCTAATCCCACGAACAAGTTAGAATCAAATCCCTATAGGATTTTTAAAACATTCTGGGCATGGCTGAGGCTTGATTAAGGAGACCCTACTCTAGCGAAGTATAACGGCATTTGCCCTTTCTTGTATGGATATTTCTCTATGCAAAGCCCTAAGTGATAATTATGGCCAAGAATTATATTCATTCAGGGTATACCATCCTGAACAAACTAAGAGACAGAGTACTTGCTTAGAATCTACTTTGTCTATAGCTATCACTAGGAGACACATACGGCTATGTTTCATAGTGTCCGCGTATCTGTCAATCTAGAGACATTCCAATGATTCTAAATGATTGTCCTTTTTTAAAAACAGTGAAAACGCTTTTTTATTTGGCTAAATATTTCAGGGGCACACTGAAATAGACGATTTGAGATCTAGAATTTTCGGAACATTGTTGCAAAATTTCTTGCTTGCCTGCCTCTCCTAGGATTTTCGAACATCTAAAAAATGGTATGATTGCCCATTTTTAAACGATTTTTTCCGTAAAAAGACTAAAAAGGTCACCTAGAATTTTCGGGAGCCTTTTTTCTGGCTGAAATTTTCGAAAAGGTAGGTTTTGATCCCTATAATTTTCGGATCACTTGACGTTCAGCTAGGAAATCCGAACAGGTGAAAAATTTTTAGGGGATAAAAATATACCTATATATCTAGCCTTTAAATACTAAAATACGTTGAACAATGCTATGTTTAAGTGGTTTTGAACTATATTTTCGTTGGGTGCCCCTGATATTCAGCCGAGCTAGTTACGTTGACTGAGCTGTTGTGTATTTAACGAAACTTAAGCATTACGTTTTGACCTAGTTCTAATCATAACTAGTTCTACAGTAGACTTATTCTTCATAACATGATATGAAGGGGGCAGTTTGTTTCCTTAATCAGTTATTTCCTTGTGAATTTATTTTCTAAGGTATTGCAACGATACTCTCGGATCATTTTCAATAGCTCTTTCCTGATGTGTGTTAATATTTTAATTTGTTATTTTCTTTGCTCATAAAGCGGCAAACTTGCTTTTTCCATAAGAAGATATATAATTAAAAACGACCAATCATCGTAAATGTCAAAAGAAAAACTGTCTGGGTCATATCACCCCTCGTAAAAGCCCTTGCAGCATGCCGGCGGGAGTCAATTCCTTATCCATATTTTGTTTGCTTTATGCTTAAGGTAAACTTAAGGTCTTCTTTTATCTATGAATAGATTTCAATGTGAAAATGGCTGTCACTGCATACCCTTTGAACAAAGTAAACGGCCAGGTACTGATGCCCTAAGATGCCATGGAAATGAAAAGTTACCGGCAAAAATGCATCCCTTTGTGACATGTTCTCTAATAGAACCACATGTAAATTAATATTGCTGCGTTTGAAAATAATATTTCAAATTGAAATAAAGGAAAGAACCTGACGTATTCAAAATTTAGGGAGACAAAAGATTCGTCATAATCTAATGGCTTTAAATTTATCTGGAACGATCTTAGCTTTAAATGATTATTATTTTATCTACGACAGAAAGTTAATACTAACTTTAGATTGCGTATTTAAATCTGCCACATGTTCCTGTTTTCTCCTAAGACCACCAAGAGAAGAACGCCAGTGTTTTATTTTAGCTTTTGTAAACAACAACAAATAACTGAGAAACCATTATTTTTTTCGGGAAAATGCCACTCAGCTTTCTTTGCTATATAAATTCTTGTACGCACACATATAGCTACTTCCTAAAACTTCAAAAGCTTCACATTTGTCGCTTTTCCTTCCAGGTTCAGCCAGTTGTCGCTCGTTTTTAGTAAAGGCTTTTAATAAAAGCTTTTGCATCTTCATTCAGGACTTTCGCTCAACCACCCGTGACATTCAATTTTAGTTCCACCTTCAAGTAACACAAAAGCACATCCAAAAAACGTCTCTTCAGCTCGGGATCCGTCGCAACCTTGGCGTTTAAAGCAACAAAATTCTGTACCTTACACTCTTCGATCAGATATTTCATGTAGGTGAACATCTCCTGCCTTTGCTCCTTGTTAATATCCATCAAATATTGATCCAGTGGTATCGGGGTAGATTTTCCCCTCCACGCGGCTAGAGATCCCCCAACAAGACCTCCGACGACAAGACCAACAGGTCCTCCGCATACTCCACCAACTGTGGCCCCTATACCCGTCATCAGCCCTCCTTTGACTCGACTACTGCTGTTTGTTACTTTATACTTATGTTCGCTTGTTATTATGGCCAGAAGACTCACCAAGTCCTCTTGTGAGACGGGCATGGTGATTTTCCTAAAAACGACCGAGTAGTCCGTTGAAGTATTGAACTTTTGTTGTGGCTGTAGTTTGACAGTCCCTGGTTGCTGCTTCTCACGTCATTGAATGACGGATAATCGTGATGCGTTTTCATTGACTGATTGGAAAGCACTTACAAGTGACACGTGACAGCAGGTTTTGTGTACGGCGGTTTGTCAAACATGCTTTGCCTCGTACCCAGAGTCTTCTGGCTTTTTGACACAGGTGTACCAATATATTTTGGAGCCACAGGTAACTTAAAATATTCTGACCTCTCAGATTTATGTTGGAATTTTTAGAGTTTATTTAAGACGTTGTTTCTAAACCTTTCTCAGCTTTTGTAGGATCCATCGCTTGGTGCCCAGGTGTAAGCACCTGAAAAATTGTGCTTGATTCATTGAGAAAAAATTTGTTTCATCATTAGGAAAGGTCTTTTTATTGTCCTATACTTTCAAGGCAGTAGTTCGGGATCAATAAGAGGAAAATTTCTTTAAGTATTGTAACAAAAAGTATAACCCCAACCCGGACTAGACTGCCAAAATTGAACAAACGGGTACACTCTCTTTTGTAGTTATAAAGACTGATTTTCGTATTGGGACTGAAATTTTCAAGTTTGTTTACTATTCTCAATTTGAGCATGAAATATTATGAAGAGTAGAGATGACCAGGAACTTACCAACACTGTCAGAGCGAATCTCGGCTCGCTTATTATCAAATTAAGCCTGTGTACAGACTTGTCGCCAAGCGGAAAGGTCAACTCTGCCACAAGGATTACGCGTCAAAATCCAAAAAATGAATAAATCTTCTTGGCTTTTTTAAATAGTTACATTCAAGATTGAAACAGTTTTACAAGTTTACGTAACACAAATGACATGAAAAACTCGCTAAGAGAATGTTTTATAAAAAATTTCAAATTTAGCAGGCCGTACTGTAGAATACGGCCCGCTGAATTAGCCAATCACAGCGCACGTACTATCTGAGAGGGCCACTTTGCAGCTTGGTAAATATTCACCACCACTAGCCACCTGACATTGAGGTGAATAGTTGCACAAAAAGGTGATTTTAACTCTTTTATTCCTGCAATAATTACAACAGATTTAGGCGCAAATCCTGTGCAAGTTGCTCGGAGATGAATAGCAAAGGATATTCGGAGTTTGAGTAGCCAATCAGAGTGCGCCTTCAATGCTATCCACCGATTGTGACTTATCGACAGTTGACCCACTCCCAACATCAGTGGCTTCATAGATCAGTGGGTTACAGCGCCGCACCGGCATCGTGAGGGCATGGGCTCAAACCCCGTTGAAGTCCTGAATTTTTCAGGCTTCTCTATGCAATTGCTAAAATTGCATTCATAACTGTGAGGATCATAGCTTCACTTGACCACTGGATAGTCTTGCTCACCCTTTTGAGCAATAGACCACTTTCGATATATTAAAATTCAGCTTGGCAGCGAGGACTAGAGGACACAAACAAAGGAAACTGAATGAACATGATTATTCATTTCTTTTGTTTGTGTCTTCTAAGCCTCACTATCAAGCTGAATTTTAATATATCGAAAGTGGTCTATTGGGGCCATAAAGTGTACATTCTTTTTTCCACACAATATTATTTAAGTCAAATGTTGTAAGATGCAGATGCTTGCCACCCTAGGAAAACGGTGGACTAAGTCTTGGAATACAAGCACCATAAGCATTTCTTTTATCTTGCAGAAAGAAGACTAACGAGAAGTAAATGAGAACCTGCATGAGAAGAAAGAGGGGAACATCAATGCTGATGCTGCCAGTGGAATTGCACTAACCCTTCTGTGAAGCTATGATGAGAGACTTATTGCAATCTTGCCATCAATCTTTGAGGGATGTACAGGCAGGTTAAACTTGCATTTCATGAGTCAGTTGTGTTCCTCACAGAAGTGTTAACACTAATGTTGCTGCAGCAAGACTTAAAAATCTTATTTTGGGGGATAAATCAATACATTACTTACATTTAATTTATCTTTGTCACCCTGTTTCATCTTGGTGACTCTTAGAATACGTTTGGGCTTCCTGTGTTTATAGTGCAATAGTGATTTCACCATTTGCTGTTGCAATTGTTCAGCCTGTAGGATTGTTTACTGCAACATTGATGGAAATGTACGAGTAAGACAAAATGTGAGACATTTCAAATGAACTGAAGAATTCTTTTTAAGTTGCTAAATGAAAAGTTTCTTGTATAAAAAATGTACGTAGTCATGTTTTGCTGTGAGAGTTGGTTGACTGGGTTTTTCCTGTTTGTACGCTGCCACCGTCATTTTCTTGGGGGATCTACCACAGTTGCCAAGAAGTATGTAAATGACTAGTCCCAGTAATTGCCAAAATGGCTTTTGAGGCTTCACTGAAACTTATGTTAAGGCGATTTCTCGAACATTGACGGCAACTCCGAAAAAACCGTCGCCCCATTTAAAAAAAAAAACACTTACACAAACCACTGTGCATCTGTGCCGAGGAAAATCCAATCTTTATTGCTTGTGTGAACAATACTGTACATTATTGCTGCTAAATTCCAACAAATTGGTACAGGTGTAGCGAAATTAACCAATCATATTGAAGTTTGACTGCATGATCTCGTGAGTTGAAAAAAAACGTGTAGATTTAAAGATTTCAAATTGATTTAAACTTAACCAGTTGGATCAGACATTTAAACAAACACTACATTCATTAAACATTCACTTGGAAAATACAATTCATAGATAGGTAACTATTTTGGCACTGTCTGTCTGTCCATCGGCTTATTACTTGAAAACTACAAATCTGCTAAACTATAATTTCAAAGGACTCGAGTTTAAAGCAATAAAAAGGCTGCTGACTAAACCTTCATAATATAAAACTGTAAGACCCAAATTTGTTCTAAAATCCATCTCAAAACTTTTCATGTAAAGGAATCCTAGGGTCTTGCGTTATTCGTTTATGGTTTATGGTTTAGGATTTATACACCGCACATATCACAAAGTCTCATGGCGGCTAACAGTTCTTTCTCTAAGATGATTTCGGACGTCAGCTTGTTTTGGGGAATAATTCAATACATTACTTTTTGTGTGTCCATGGGCATTCTTAAACTCTCACAATGGGATATAGGAATAGCTACTTTGTTTCCACTGAGAATTCCTTGAACGGTAAGAAGTAACGATGACACCGAAAAAAAAATTATGTATTTGTCGAATAGTCGAGTGTAATCACCTTTCCATCGCAAAAAAACGCCTTTTTGAAAAAAAAATCGGTAAAGCTAATCGTTGTTCACTTAACAACTTATAATTAGAGTGTCCGGTATCTAATTTCTTTTCACAATATCACCGTTTAATCAAACATACCCTTCATGAAAATTATAAACGGTCAAGTGAAATGAATTTTTTTTTTATTTGGGAACAGATCCTCCTTATTGGTACCGAAACAAAATTACGGCTGAGAGAATATGCATTTTGACTTTAAGAGGACATAGACAACACTCTCGTTATTGTAGGCTCTGTACTGTTGCTTGCAAATCGTTGCTTGCTAGACCAAGAGAGGGGTCTCTTCGTTTTCCTGTTCCCTAAAAGGCCTGCTGTAGCAAAGTTTCGCCAAGTGACGAATTGTTTGATAAACCACAACAAGAAGGCGACCACCCTGCGACAAAACAGCAGCAACTACAAAAAGGCAGGCAACCGCTGGTACAAAACCGAGAATTATGATTTCTACTACTTGAAAGGCACTCGTCCAAGAGGTCAAGGGATTCGAGCCCTGCAGAGGGACACCAAGCGAGTGGAAAGATGCGAAAAACGTGTTAATTATACCCAACAGCACAACACACAGCAAAGAAATGGTTTCCACTATGTTGGCAATATCGTCACGAAACGGCTGAGTGATGCAATGGTGCAGAAGAAACAGTACACAAAACGAAGTCATGACGACAAGACGGGACAGAGGATCATTGATAAAAGCATTTAACACAATAAGAATCAGCCGCCAGCCGATCATAACCCCTTCCCAGCTCAAGGAAAGCTTGCTTCCCTCTTCTGGCCTCTTGAAAGGGTCGTAAAGAACCCTTTCCACGGAAATCTCAGTTGACGTCTGGCCTGCTGGCTGTTCTCCGACCCTGACTAATGGTCGCGCTCTATAAATAAGGGCGATGTATGCCCAGTAAAGTAAAATCGGTAGAGGTAAACAACAAGCAAGGAGGAAATTTGCCACGGAAACGGTTCCTCTGTACAGCTTGAAAGAGCCCCACATCAAGACAAACAAAAATGGCACAAAAAACACACAGTCAAATGCCACAAAAAGGAATTGCCAAGGTTGAAAACAAGCGATGTTTCCGTCGTAAAACAATCGTTTCTCTGAGCCAATGGGAACACAGGTTAGCAGGTCAAAGCTCATGGACGCCAAAGTTGCGTAACCCAGCAGTATGGTTTGTAATATACCGCCGACATAGGGACCAACAGGCGGTGCTTCTCGGCCTTGAATCTTTTTGCTTCCCCAATGAAACATGTAGAAGACACCTATCATAAGCATCGTTCCAAAGACAGGAGAAGCCAAAAGTAACCGTTTAGTTACCACATTGAGTCCAGGAAAGGGACAGATCACTCCTGTAGTTGACATTGGTGAGACATTTTGCTGAAAGTTAAACAATCCGATGATAGGCTCCCAAACTTCAGTTTTGAGAATGTGCAGGGTTGTATCGTAGACGAGTAAAAGGTTTGCTGCCTGATAAAAGTAGAAAACGATCTTTAAATAACCGCGGTCAAAATCTTCATCCTGGTTGGCTGGTTCATTTTTTTTAATAAACCACAGGATCTGGCGCTTGATCCAGGGCACTATAGGAGGCTTAAATGTAAAGAGCAATGCCATAATTGACACACAAACCAAACCCACGGGCCAAATCCAGTGATCCTTACACTCGTTTGATGGTGCGCAGCTTGTGGAGTAAAGTGTCTCCGTGTGAGACTCTTTACAGTGTCCGCAAAGGGTACCAGAACGCTTACCCTGGCAACTGTCGTATTCGGGAAAGTCTGCTTTCTGGGGAGAGCTGCAATAACCATTGGGGCATGTGATGAAATTCAGCGTCGGTGGATTGTATTTTTCTTTAAAACCCCAAAAGTTAGGTTCAGCAACTATGTTTTGGGTGCAATTTGCTCCATATGGGCAAGAAAGACAGGGAAATTTTGGTTCTTCTTGAAGGCCAAAGGCGCGGCCGCGATTCAGACTGTAGGTATTCCCTTCGCATGCTAAACATCGAGCCTCAAGTATGGTGACAGAACTTTGACCTTTGAGTTTAATTTGAAAATGAAGTACATTTATTTGACTTCCTACCGGACAAGTCAACGTTGTCAGATTGTCGAGACTCAGCTCTCTGCCATTTGTTTTTCTTATCAGAACATCTTGATTTTCAGGATAGTTGGCGGTCAGGGAGGTATTAGATATATTCAGCGATCCTTTGCTCTGTGTATCAATGAAAAAAGCCCCTGCAGAGTAATTTTCATTTCCTACTTGAAATAAAGTTTGGTTGAAAACACAATCCCAAATGAATAGGTTTGTTGATTGGACGTCCGTGTGTATGTGCCCGCCTAAAACCTGTACTAAATTGTTGCGAAAAGTGCAATTCTGGAATTTTGCATCTCCGTTGCTCAAATGCACGGCGCCACCAAAAGCCGCAGCGTTTTCTTCAAATGTCGTATCTTCAAACAACAAGGGACTTGCCCCTCCACTGTTTTCTTGATTCACGAAAATAGCTGCGGCTCCTCCGTAGTATTTGGACGCGTTGTTTCCCACAAACCGAGCTTTCTTAACTTCCACTGTTGCCATGCCGTCAGCCCACATATAAAACGCACCTCCGACTTGTTCAGCAGAACAATTGAAAAACGTTGAGTTATTTATGACAATGTCTGGAGCAAACGTGCTTTTTGATTTCACAGATAATGCGCCTCCATAGCCAGTTCCTCCTGCATAATTGCCACTGAAATGACATTGTTGCACCAGAAGTCTTTCCACGTTGTTTACAGAGAGCGCACCACCCAAACGAGTGAGAGCTGTGTTATCGAGGAACTGAGAATTGTGTACAATAATAGCGTTAATTACGTCGACGAGGACGGCTCCTCCATCGGAGTGCACTGTATTAGATTCCATGGTTAAGTTTGAAAGTGTTAGAACACTTTGCGCGTCAGCTCGAAGGTAAACAGCACCACCATAGCTTGCTCTGTTATTTGAAAACGTTGAGTGTTCTATGGTAAGGTTGGACGTTCCATTGCAAGGTTTCACGTTTTTTATGCTTATTGCTCCTCCAACGGTGACGTCAGAACCAAGTGCGGTATTATTATAGAAGAAAGACTTGTAAACCTTCAGCGAGAGAATGGTACACATAGTGTTGTAGAGATTTGATAATTCCTTGCTGCCAAATGTTTCGCCTTCACCATCTCCAGCGTCATTGACAACTCCTCCATTGGAGTGCACTGTATTAGATTCCATGGTTAAGTTTGAAAGTGTTAGAACACTTTGCGTGTGAGCTTGAACGTAAACAGCACCACCACCATAGCTTGCTCTGTTATTTGAAAACGTTGAGTATTCTATGGTAAGGTTGGACGTTCCATTGCAAGGTTTCAGTTTTTTTATGCTTATTGCTCCTCCAAAGGTAACGTCAGAACCAAGTGCGGTATTATTATAGAAGAAAGACTTGTAAACCTTCAGCGAGAGAATAGTGTCGACGTAAACAGCTCCGCCGGAATAATCGGCGCTATTCGCTTCCATGGTCACATTTCCAAGGATTAGAACAATAGGTTTTTCTCCAGATATCGAAATGGCACCGCCATTGATGCGCGCATAGTTTTTCGAAAATACTGAGAGTAATACCGTGATGTTGCAGAGATTTGATAACTCCATGTTGCCAAATGTTTCGCCTTCACCATCTCCATCGTCACTGACGTATATAGCTTCTCCGAAATTCTTTGCCTTGTTTGATTCCATTGTCACGTTTTGATGGAGGATAGTTGCTGGGCAGTTTGCAGAAACGGAGACTGCACCGCCATTGTAGTATGCGCTGTTATTTGAAAACGTAGAGCCTTCTATTGTGATATAGCAGCCATCTGGTTCTGTCACACTCAGAGCTTCTCCAAATGTGCGGTTGGTTGGATTTTTATCATCATGAAAGACCGACCCTGAGGAGCCAATAAACACGGCTCCGCCATCTCCTGCCTTAGCTGTGTTTCCGGTGAAAATGCTATCTCGAAAGCTGATATTGCAAGCGTTGATGGAGTCAACAGCGATAGCACCACCACAAGCCGCGCTCGTGTTAACGAAGGTTGAATTGTACACGCCTACATGGAACATGGCCCTTTGTTCAGGATGGTCTTCTCCGCTTAGATATACGACTCCGCCATTTCCATATGCCGGCCCAACTTTGTATCCAACAAAACTGGAGTTATGGATGAACAGTGAAATGTTCGATCCACTGATAGCGAATAACCTTGTTTGTTGACCTTGAAAATGGCTGGAATCGATGAAAATTGTCACAGCAGCCCGTGTGCTTTGAACAATGCATTCAGTACATGGTTCATTTTGGCATCCCGATGCACAGTTGTCAATAAATGTCACATCCTGAAAGTGGATGATGTGGTTGCCATTTTTCATGTTCAGGGATATAAGACCTTTGGAACTGAACTGGTTATGAATAAGGGTAACATTTTCCAAAGTTAAATCAAAGCTTATATCCTGATTGGTGTGAGCCAAGTCAACAGAGATGCCGGCCATGTTTTCAGAGAACATCGTATCTTTGATATGAAGGCTCGAATCTATCATTTTATGTATTGTAAACTTCACACCTTCTTGTATGTCATTAAATTTACAATTTTGGATGTAAGCGGAAGACTCCAGGAAAGTCAAAGAACTTCCGCTGAAGATAATACCTAATATGTTTGCTCTGATCTCGTGTAGGGCATCAACAGAGCCATTGAATGCCAAAAGTGATCTACCAGAGCATCGTATCCGAGGCAATGGATTGCCAAATCCAATCAGAGACAGACTCTTATTTATGTAAATACCCGGATGCGACGTTCCTGAATGACACGTGTATGGATTTTTACCGGTGTTTGTGCCGTCTAAGTAAATTTCATCATCATCTGTTGCCAAAGTAACAGCCCATCCAATAGTGTTACAGGGATTCTTCTGATCACATGACCCGTTGTCCTTGCCCGTTCGAGAAAGGTACAAGTTCCTTCCCTCGGTGACATATCCTGCAAAAGTAGAGAATACATATGAACGAGAGAATATGAGAAACCTCTTTCCCAGGGCTTTTCTCTGCCGAGAGTAGGGCACGGGGGAAAAGACCCTGGCATCGTCTGGTTACGTGTTCCTTCGACACCCGAAAATCTTGGGTCGACATTACATTCCATCCACCGGGACCATCTTGTTCGAGAGAGACTGGAGTCAATTTTTAACTCGTAACAGAAGATTTTCGGGGTTAGTAGTCCATCATACATTGAATACTAACCGACAAAGGTTGGGTTTTGAGATTAAATAACGTTCTAGGCCTAATTAGGCCTAAGAGTAGCTTTTCCGAATACAAGAAGGACATTGCAAAGACTTGCCAAAAGACCGGTGTTCGAAATTTGCAGACTGCCTAAAAATAACGCTGAGAGAACAGTATTTAAGTCTAAGCACCCATTTTAATACGGTTACTTTTCAATATCGGTGAGAACCTCGGCCTCTCTCGAACATGGAGGTCCTGGTGTTGACCAAAATCTTGGGTGACATAAGTTTTATATGAAATTCGAGATTCGAATAATTGTCGGCTTGGATGGGCTCTTAACCTCGGTAAATTTCCTCCGTTTTGTTTGAAGCCTCTTCAGTTTAAGTGCTTCGAATATATGCTTTAAGGTATTGATGTTGTCACCGATGTTGATGCCAGTTTTGCCCAGAATACGAAGCAAATGGGGACTTTTGCACGCACCACTACAAAGACTGCACACTGAATTTCTTATAAATATGTTTTTTGGAGTAGACTGCGCCATCGACAATATTAGCTGGCCCTTTCGAATAACAGAAAAATTGAAATATCCGTACAACATCCAAATGGTCATGATAATGTATGTTGCCCTGAATTCCAACAGCCAACAAGGATCAAGCGGATCAGGTAAATTAGTACCCTTCCAAATTTTCATCGATAACACGTAACCAGCTGTCAACCGATGCCAGAGTCTTTTCCAGCCCGCCCTACTCTCGGCAGAGGAAAGCCCTGGGAACGAGGTTGAGAATATGAGGTAAGGGAGCGATTCCCTTCTCCCCTTGACAATTAATTGAGATTTATTTTTAGATTGCGCCCATGCTGCGAAGGTCATTATGTTCCTATGGCCACGTGGTCAACTCTTACACCAAGCGACCTGTGAGGTGTCGTCCTTGAAATAACTTCGAAGTATGCTAACAAAAAATTGAATTTAAGTAATTCTCATTGGGGCAGGGCCAAAGTTGGGGGGTTTTTCCCCATTCTCTTGATGTGAAATATCACACATTTTAATTGCGGAGGTCAGAAATATCAACACAGTGAAATTAGTAAGTGGTACAGTTACGAAAGATGCCTGAAAAAGCCGGGTCCAATGCTAGCCCGCGACCAAGCTCTTTCGAGGAGGTCTCGACCGTACAGACGCAAGGATCGAGTTTCGAACAGCGACATCAACACCCTTACCAGTTATAGGGATAGTCCACCAATTCGAAAGTCGAAACAGATGTTGGGTGTCTTGCACCCTGCCAGCAGATCCTTTCTTAACTGGACGAGGAGGAAGGGACTCTACAGAAATCGTGTTAAGTCTTTATTGAGTATGCGCAAGCCGTTGCTTGGAGACGTTTCAAAGCCTGGCCAACTCTTGCTCGCACTCCTAGACGCCATATTGATTTTCGTACTGAAGGCTCGATTTTGACCTTCGCCTTGTCAAAAATATGATCCGCGCGCTGCCTTAACCGGTTTGACCGGAGTGACTAGCCCAGAAACTTGGGCTACGGCGACTTACAGTGCGATGCGCCTTACCGTGGCCACCAAACAAAGTTCTTTACAGATTATCTGCCAATGAGGGTGTGCGAATTTCATTGTCAGTCACGCCTCCTTGCAAAGTTCGTATACGGTTGCAAATTGATCACCGTTGCATGGCTTGTTGAATTGACGTATTTACACGTAGACTTAACTGATTAGAGTGTAATGTGAAGTGCTAGTTTTGTACCCCATATAAACCATGTGAGCGTTAGCCTTACTAATGGAAATGGGCCCACACCAGGACAGAGAAAAACTCTGACCAGGGTGGGAAATGAATAATAAGAAGAAGAAGAAGAAGAAGAAGAAGAAGAAGAAGAAGAAGAATAACAACAATAATTTATATAGCGCTATTCAGCTACTCTTTCATAGCGCTTTACAATGATCAGATTAACATAGAACTTAAAAACTAAAAAAATATAATAAAATACCAAGATAAATAGTTACAGAGCTTATATATACATTATACAAAAAACAAAAGTTAAAAAAAGAAAAGAATTAAAAACCATAGGCTTCTTTAAAAAGATAACTCTTCAAATGTCTTTTAAAGATAGCGATTGATGGAGATTTATGGATGCTAAGAGGCAAATTATTCCATTGCCTTGGCGCAGCAATGCTCAACGCCCGATCTCCATACGTGTTTAGTTTAGCCATTGGCACAGTGAGCAATTCTTGCCCACTAGAGCGTAAAGACCGAGAGCACTTACGATGGCTCAGGAGACTAGAAATGTAAGAGGGTGCTTTGCCATTGTCCTTGTGTGGGCCCATTTCCATTAGTAAGGCTAACACTCAAATGGTTTATATGGGGTACAAAACTAGCACTTCACATTACACTCTAATCAGTTAAGTCTGTTGAAATATAAGTGCTACACGGCCAACGTTTGTAAAAACGTAACCCTTCCTTGTATTTACACGTAGGTTGTCAAATGTGAAAGTTTGTTGGGTGGCCACGGTAAGGCGCGTTTCACTGTAAAAGACTTGACACTATTTCTGCCGAGCCTCTTCTTGTTAGCTCTTTGGCGAATTTTAGGGAGGCTCTGCTGGCACGGTGGGTGTCTTGTGGGGTACAACGAAATGATGTCTTCTACCCTCCCTTAATTTCCAAGTATTTCACTCAAATTAGGCAGAAAGAAAGAATGTTTCATTTTTCCAGCATTCAGATTTATCAAGTTACTAGTAAGTCAGTTCATTATCCCACTTAAGTAAATTAAAGACACTTTTTTGTTTCTTTTTTCGGGTTTGTTTCTCGCGATAAATCAAGCCGTGTTGTTGCTGCAGTAACACTGGGTCGGATCGGCTGTACACTCGAATTCTGTAGTGTCATCATTATGTTGGCGTTCTTGGAAGTTACAGAATGCTTTCGCAGAGACAATAGCCTACATTTATTGTAAAGTTTCGATATAACGCGAACTCTGAATGGTTTAAACAGCGTGCTTTATGGGAGTACAGCCGTGGTCAACGGCCGACGCCACTCACATGATTGAGAAAATAAAGTTTTCCGAAAATAGTTTAGCCGAATACGTGATGAAATTAATCAATTCTTTATCATAAAACAAATAAAGAAGCATCGCCTGTAATCTTTTCTGTTGTAAAGCACGCAGGAAGCGGCCCGAGGAAGCGGACAGAGCACTCAAGAAGTAAGGAAAACACGCCACTGCGTCTCGTGTTTCCCCTACACTCGGTGCTCTATTCTATTCCTTCGTGCTTTACACAGAACAGATCACAGGCGAGGCTTCTTTATTGCGTCGACGTAGGAGACGCTTCCTAAGTGAGTGGTTGGGAGTTCTGTTTGTGTGCATGTTCCAAGCGCGAGAACTCGAGAAAAGAGGTCGTCAGTCGGTTCTAAATCTGCGCGTCAGAATAGCATCCAGCATGCCGAGCGGTTGTTTTTCGCCATTTTGAAACGTCACAATAACATATGCCGATTAATCATTCGGGAAAAATCGCAACCACGTTTCCAGGGTCTCTCTTCTCTGCCTCCCTTTCCTCAACGATAAGGAAAACCCTGGAAACGAGGTTGGAAAAATCGGAGGCATTTCTGATTGACACGAAACTTGGTCAGGAACGAGATATGACAATTAGCCAATCACTGGCCAGTTTTTATCAGCATCGGTTGAAATGACATCATTCTCTGATTTGCCGAAGATCACCGTCGAGCGAGACCGAAATGGCGTCCATGCAGGAGGGTTAAAAAAAGGGAATTTTTCTCGAAATCGCAGAAAAAATTATATAGAGAGCTTCTTTAGAGCCAAGCGAAGACATCTGGATGGCTTATACGGCAATTGTGAAGGGTATCCAAGACAAACAAGAGGCTGTGGGAGCGTACATTTGGGCGTGGTTGTTCTTCGCGTATGTGAAGTTTGTTATGTGTGTGAGGGATATGTGGGTAGTGCAGTGGTATTGTGTATTTGAGGGGTTAGTTGAGAAGTGTGAAGTAGTAGGCATGGATCTATATTGGAAATTGATTGCTAAGATGGTGGGTCTAGTTTGTGAGGTAGTTACTGGGTTTCGATGAGGTTGTTTTTATTGGATGTTGGTAATAGAGTCAAACTCTGTTAATAGTGGCACTGAGGTGTTGATAGAAAATGTCTGTATTAAGTGACATCTTTTACAAACCTACTGTTTTCCATCAAATGAAGACTGCACACCGAAAAAATTTTCACACGAATATTCTCTTTTGGTAAAAATGTGGAAGATCAACTGGCATAATATGTCTTTTCACACCCATCACATTGTACTGTGTATTCCCAGTACTAGCAAAGGCAGATAAAGTTCCTGA